GTCAAACAAGCAAGCAATATAGCATATAAGAGAGTTTGGTTTCAAATATTCTAGCCATCTTTTTACTTTTGTTTTTATCATTCTCCTTTTTCACCCCATTAGGTGTGATTATACTAAGTGTCCAAATTCCCGTTCATTATTTTGCCTTTTTTCTATGCTAATGATATAATAGCTGGATAATATATTAGAAATGGCAACAAATCTGGAAAAGTTCTTAAATTAAGCACTTCTAAAATAAACTCGTAATAATCCATAAGGATTCTACTTCTGATGGGAGGAGAACAAACAAACTTCATAATACAAACATTGACTTAACTTTAAAAAATGCATCAGAATAGCCTCATTTTTAGCAGTTAAGGATTTCTGAAAGAGCACAATCAATATCCAAAAACACCTGGCTAATAAAACTATGGGGTATCAATCGAAGGTGCTTACATAGTAACAAAATAAAAGTAATTAGTTTTGAAAAAGCAGAACTCACTTTTACTATGTTATATTCAAAAAGGTCAAATAAATCCCTTTCTTCCTCTAAAACAAATAACAGCTCATTATGCTTACAACTGATATGTCATCAACAGAGCCATCTCTGAACGTCAGTTATTTGGCTATAAAAACCAAGGCTCAGACATAATAAAAGAAAGACATTACGGGTACAAGCAAAAACAAACTAGTTAAAAGTCAGACAACTCAACTCTCAACCAAGAATTTATAACACAGTGCACATTTACAGACAACCTTCTAGGATATCGTATTTGGGCTAATGCAAATCAAGTCAGCTTTTTAGGAGCTCATTTAATATAGAAGATTCCTTCTTTAACAAATGGAATCCTACAACCACAAGGTCTCAGTGACTTTGGAGTATCATGTTTTGGGGGTGAGGAGTGCAGCACAATGGTTTGGGCCCTTTCTAGCACAGGAGTCATTGTGTTTTCCTCCGAGGAGACAGAGGAACAGGACTGTCATCCATAGTTCCAGACATGGCTCAAAGGAGACAGCATCTCACTGAGTCGATGAGCAGAGCTCTAGGCTGAAAAGGATCCCAAGGAAGTTCTTACTTTCTGAGAACAAAATCCTAGGCTGGTTAGAAAAGTTAGGGGGAAAGGGAGAAAGAAAGAGAAGGATGGAATCATTCATTTATTTTACTCCACATTTAGCTAATTCCCAGAAAGGCAGGATCTAGGATCCTCTGGTTGAGATAACAAGAGGGAAATGGAGACGGCTCAAGCTCACAAGAGGAAGCCACCAAGAAACTGGAGTCTTGATTACCTCGCCTGGTTCAGATCCGTGTTTCTAAACGGTAAATATACTGCAAACTGAAAAATATGTAAATGTTCTACCACAGCCAATTAAAACTATCAATGACTAGAGTAAGCATGACGACTTGGTCGCAGGGTGGAATAAAGCAACTGAATGGCTGTTGTAGTAGACTCAATGGATGAGATTAGAAGCCAAGAGATCCAAGGAAGCTTACCAACATCCATGATGGCATGATTCTACCACTCGCCACATGGACCTACACAACAAGCAAGCTACACCCCACCTCACCATTAACTCCCTGAATCTGAACTGTCTGTACTACTCAATACCACTAGCATTTCTTAATGATGAGGAAAACCTGAGAGGCTGAGGTGGGAATATGGGTGGGCTGGGAAGGGAATAGTGACAGATACGCCATCAGCTTCTGATTTCCCCTAAATAATAACTACTCTGGTTTGCTCCCTTGTGGCCAGCTCCCAATTATATGTAAAGAATAGCTGGGCATGGGGACAGCA